GGGAGCTGGTCGACAATAAAGCAACGAATTTAGAATACTATAAAATTAGATATCTTTAGGTTTTTCGGATAATTTTTTTGGTTTTTTTTGGGTTTTTTTGTAAGTGTTTTACGGCGCTCGCAACTGCATACGACCATATGAGCGCGCGGGACACACCAAACATTTTTTTAGTAAGTTGGAAGGAAATTTTTGAATTTTGCCCGGGTGGCGGCCGAAGCCTACTCTTACCGATTTTAGACCACCAAGGGATTTTTAACGTGCGCAACTTGCACACGGGCGGGCCCTCCGAGATTTTTCGCCCTTGTCCGAGAAGGCTACGTGTAGATCTTTCCTACCAGAAAATCAGGGGTGTGGCTGAAAGACAGCAGTAAGGAGCCAGTGAGTAGCAATAGAAAGGCTGCAGTAATAGCCAGGTGCCCAGAGGAGGGGTCAAAGGAGGTGAGGGGGTGGGGACAGATAGAGGAGATGAAAGCAGACGACAGAACATTTTCTAGAGAGCAGGAAAGGAGGTGAAAGGAGATAATTTTAGAGAAGAAATGTTTCCGGTCGCTACCCGGATTCGAACCCGCGACCTTTGAATGAGAGGCCAACTCCTTAACCTCAAGGCCACGAGAGCCCCCTGAAATTCTTTATGTTCACCAATAGGCAGCGCATTGACACTTACCATAATCAGAGTATTATGTCAGTGAATATGCAGCAAATGATAAAAATGATATATACTTTTTTCGAAAATGGATGTACACATATAATTCTAAAAGTCTGTATTTTCTTAAAACTTATACAAAAGATTCCCTTCATGAAAGTGATGCTTTTCTTTTAAGGGTCATGTTTAAAAAACATAAGGAAAAAAAAAACAACAAGAAACAGATCACAGTTGAAATGATTGCAAAGTATGTACACAGATATTTTACACGACTATATCTTTTTAAAATCCTGTTTTTAAAAATTAAGTATTAAGTATTTTTACTAGTTATATTTCAAATACATTTTTTTTAAAATCAAGAGTTATAATAAAAAGTTTCCAACCTCCCAAAAGGGATGAGATTTGTTCAAACAGTCGTAAAACTACAGGAAAAGCTCACGGGAAATACAAGGGGAAATCACCTTTAGGCATTTTGAGAAAAACACAATTACATATAATTCAAATGTTAGACAGCCTGCGTATTTTTTAAGTACTCTGTCTTGTGTGTCCCATATGCCCTTCACATGTATTTTTAAACCACAAAAAAATGTGAATTATGGTCTACAGCCACCTCCCACACAAATTAATATTTCAGCTGCAGAAAAATGGAACCCAATATTTTTTTCTTTACAAAAAAAAAGCTTAGAGATCTACCAACTTTCTTCTTCCCTTCTCTCGCTTCAGCTTAATAAGGAGCACCTGGCTGTGAAATCTTCATCTCACAGTGTGGTTGGTTTCTACGAGCAAGGATGTTTTATTTACATTGAGCACAGAAGAATCAGTCGCCACCTGCTTGAGAGGTAGCCATATGCCGTTTTGAACAGCACTCTCAATCCTAAATTCATGCAAAGTGGTTATACATTTTAAAATCTATGCTGAGTAGAATGGCTTCCGTTCATTATTTTGAGGAGCACCTCATCTCACCATGATGTTAAATATAGTACGGTAAAAAAATCGCGGCGCAACTTATTGCCAGATATCTCCTAAACTATCGAGCTCAGACTTTCCAGTTTTAGCCCAGTGACTCATATCAATGTGTCGTAACACATCAAAATAATATTTTTAAAAACACACCCGAGAGCTGTATTCTAAAAAGTTCTTTAATAAATACTAATAAAAAAAACCAAGCGAGTGGTTTCTACAGATTTTGAAAGGTTTACAGCCGAAGTCAATATAACTTTTAAAAGCAAGTCCGTCATTTTTTCTAACTGCGCCACTATGCTTATTGAATACATGTTTTGAGGACGTTTACTGCAAAAAAGTGTTCACTATAAAATTATTATTTTGTAACAAGTTTTGCCACTAAAAAGTGTGTGTCGTTGATTAGCTGTGACGTAGGCCATACGAGTATACAAAATGTGTGTGAGAAGCAGGAAGTGCTGTGAACAATCATATTATATTCCGCATGACGGATATTCATAGTATTTTATATTTATGAAGAACAGTTTTTTAATCGAGCCTCAATTGTCGTGGAAAGATATGATTAGGTTAAGACAAATACAAATTGATACAAACTGATGTGCAAAGTATGGGTGGCATTGATTCACCCGTTTGAGAGATATTTGAGGATAAGTTGCTCTCCGCATTTTTGACTGCACTATAGTCATGCTGAACAGAATGGCGTCCGTTTTGGGGAAGGAATTAATTTGGAATTTTTGCACGCACGGCGGCAAGAAGGGCCTCCTCTTTACAATTTTAGAACCGTCAATGGATATTTTAAGTGCAAAACTTCCACACAAGACTTCTGATTCTTTATATTTTGGGGGGTTAAACCAAAGGCTACGTTTCGGCACATTTCAAACCCCCCTTACACCAATAAGAAACATGCGTTTGCACATTCAATAATACGCATACTGTTGACTTAAAAAAAAAAAGTTTCAAATAAGGAAAACAAATTCAAAGAATTAGTTTTGAATAGCGAAGTTGTACCCCAAAACGGCCTATCTCCACGCATTGTCAAATGTTCTATCTGCTCTATCAAAATTGTACGATTATTTTTTTTGAGTCGTTATCAAGATATTCAAAGACTTGCATTCGAAAAAGCTTAACCATGTTGTGTGAAACTCAAAATGTTAGACGACAGATTTCTCAAACCTAGGAACTAAGAAGATAGAACTAGGGTAGCGACCAGAAATCAGACACCGGTATCACTGGCTGTTCATTTCTCCTCCCCAGCCTTCTCTCCCGACAGCTCCAGACTCTTCATCTTCTCAAAGTCTAGGCGTACGTATTCCACTGGCTCCTCAGCCTCTGCGCACTTTGTTTTCTTCTTGTTTGCCTTCCACTTCTGTGACTGTTGCCGAGCATGCTGGACAGTGACGTAGACGAGCCCTTCCTCGGTGACGAAACGACCGTCGTCCTGGAAACACAGAGGAAAAATCCAACGATAATGGTAACACACACACACACACACACACACACACTCACACACACACACTTACACACACATACGCGCACACACACACACACACTCTCTCTCTCTCACACACACACACACACACACACGCACACTCACACACACTCACACAC